TCGCACGCGCCCAGCGTTGCTTCGCTCAGGTGAGCACTTCACTCATTACCACGCTCGCCACTTACCACACTCACTACAACTACACCATGCTCGCTACCACCGCCACTCTCCACCACAACCACACTCACCAGGTCCGCACTCACCTCATTCATCACTATCACATTCGGTCGACACATTGATCACCACTGTATCTCACTCACCAAACACCCACCAGCTCCACATTCGACACGGTCTTCATCATTACAGTTCACTTAACAGCTCCAGACGCTCAACTTGCACATTCACAATCTCCACTCTGCACACCATTGTACTACACTCCTCACCTCCACACCACTGGCTCAGGGCCGCCAAGAATTGAGCTCTCGTGCACTACATGGTGCACCTGTACATTGTGTTTGCTTGATCTGCATGCTGTGCTACTCTTCCTACGAGCTGCATACTTCATGCAATTGCTGTCCACACAGCGCCTGTTCTGTATTTGTAACAAGTCATCTCCTTGTGAGCTGTACGTGCTGTATTTGATTACCGTGCAGTCTCTGTGTGTGTGGTGTGTTCTGGATCTGCATTCTAAGCACGCTGTATGTTCCACGTCTGTGTGTGTGCTACGTTGTGGGGAGCGATAGTGTAGCGGTTATTGTGCTGTGCTGTGAACCTGGCAACCCGAGTTTGATTTCCGCTCATGGTCAACATCGGTGACGAATATTTGAATGGGTCCTAGACCTCCCCGAGGTCAACTCGGCCTCAAATTAGTACCTGGTGCTGTGTGTAAACATCACAACTAGCGGGACAAAGGTGGCCGAGTGTGGTGCTGGCCACTCAACCCCTTAATAGGTGCTCGCAAACAGCACTTCTGTTAAGTGCAAGTCTGTTAAGGCTATAGGGGGGATCTTTGTCTTTGCTACATTGCTCTCATGCACTGTCCGTGCGCTGTGCTTGCGCAGTACCGGGCAGCACTGTCCCACTCCAGTCCCTCGGAGATCCAAGCATCCATGAAGGCATTCGACAAACTCATCCGCGACTGCCCCCGCTGTGCCGAGGCGTACGCGCTCTACGCACAGGTGTGTGTGTCCGCATGGGGCAGTGCTTCCACGAGCATGCAAAGTGCGTGTGTGTGTGAAAAGTGTGAGCGCCAAAGTGTGGTGGCAGTATGATTACCGCACTGCGATGCGAACACGGTGACCTGGATTGGATCCCTGGCTGCAGATGACGTGAGTGGCAAGTAGTATCTTCACCTGTGTTGGGCCTCACTTCGGGTCGATTGGTGAAGGCGCGCGTCAATATATAGCCTATTGTATTCAAGGTTTCATCTTCGCGGGCCTATTGGAATCAAAAGGCGTGCTTTCAATAGCCATCCGTTAATAAGTTACTCGTTGTTGCTTCCACCTCTTATAAGCAATGGTTCGTGGTGATGAGTGCTGACTTGCTATGGTGTGCTATCGCGGTGTAAACGTGATTACATCTCATGCGTGATCTAATGCGTGGTGGTATTGTGATGATACTTGTTTGCCTGTGGTGGTGTTTGCTTGTATGATAACATGATTCGTTATGTGATCTCCAGGCCCTCACGGATCAGCAAATGTTTGACCGTGCCGACGAGATGTACGACTCCTGCATTCAGCTGGAACCGAACAACGCCACCACTTACGTGCACAAGGGGTGCGCACACCTTCCCGTACCTCATCACACACCTCAAAACACCTCATGATGCACCGCACATGATAATGTAGTCGCGTCATACATTGTACAACACATCGCATAGCACATACCACACAATACACACATCGCCAAGCACGCTAAAATACATCACAACACCCCGATGTATTTAGTTTCACTTGAATTTACAGTTTCATTTTCAGTTGTGAATGGCTGTGCTGGTAGATGTGGTATGTGGGGAGCGATAGTGTAGCGGTTAGCGCGCTGCGCTATGAACCTGGCGACCCGGGTTCGATTCCCGCTCACGGCCAATACCAGTGACGATTATCTGAACCGGTCCCAGGCCTCCCCTAGGTCGACTCAGCCTCAAATGAGTACCTGGTGCGGTGTGTAAACATTGCCACTAGGGAGACAAAGGCGGTCGGGCGTGGTGCTGGCCACCCACCCCCTCGTGTACCGTTCCGGCCTTCATAGGTGCTCGCTAACAGCACTTGCCCCTACAGTCTGTTAAGGCTATATGGGGGATCTTTATATTGCGTGGCAGTGGTGGTGACTGTGGTTGTGATTGTGCGTCAGGCTCCTGCAGCTGCAGTGGAGGCAGGATCTGGATGCGGGCGTGCGTCTCATCTCCCGCGCCATTCAGATCGACCCCAAGTGCGATTTTGCCTACGAGACCCTCGGCACGATTGAGGTTCAGAGGTGAGGGAATGCACCAGTCCCCGTGTTATCAGTGGACACGCTCTGATATTAATTTGACATTTCCCTTGAATTATGCCGGTGTGATTGTGTAACATGTTAACTTTAGTGTATGCAGTGTTTTTGGTAGGTCATTGTTTATTGTGATGTTATGTTGTTGACGTTATGTTGTGATGGTTTGATGATCGTGGTGTGGTGTGCATTTGATGAGTTGGGGTGATGTTTTGTGATTTTTGACACGTTTCGGTGATTGGTATGCTTGTTTTTTTTATGTTAGGATTGGTCATGTTGCAGTGTGTTGGTATGATGGGTTGGTAGTGGTGGTGTGGTGTGTTGGGTTGTTGATGGTTTTGTGTATTGGCATGATGTTTTGGAAACAGTGCATGGTGGGTGATGCTTTGTTCTGTGGGCGCAGGGGTAACCTGACACGTGCAGTGCAGCTGTTCGAGGAGGCAGTGACGCTGTCCAAGTCTGAGATGGAGATGGCACACCTGCTGTCCCTGTGCCACGCAGCACAGGCCCAGCTCGCAGTCGCAACCAAATATGGGCTCATGCCGCCCAGTGTCTGATCATGCAGACACTTCACCTCTCATGCCACGTACACGCATCGCTTCTCGTCACCCAGTCCGATCGCACGCGCACACCACCACTCGCACGACACATATGCTACTCAACATCTGACTGTGTGCACAGCTAATGACTCTCACCACATTTATGCAGCTGAATAATCAGTGAGCCCCAATGTCCAGGTCTCTCCTGCCCAAATTTATGTTGTAATTCATTATAAGAACATTTTTCAAGAGGACTCTGCTTTGGCATTTTAGGCCAACTCCTCTTTCAGGAGTGCTGTCCATGTGGGAGAAAACCCACACATGGAAGGGGGGTTAAACATCCAAAAGTCTACACAGATGAGTTCACAAGCCTAACTTTGCCATATTACCATCTGATGGCCATATGACAGCCAGCCTGCCCAGAAGATTGTGTTTCACAAATGTATGTGATCCTCCAACTCGTGCCACCGAAAGCACTTGATCGTGCACACCTGCTATTCATCCGACCAAACATTATCTTGCGTGAACCACCACATTGCTGCACCACCGCACACATAGGCATAACACAACAGCATCTTGTCATACATCACACCATGGACAGGTCGACAACACCAGATGACATTGTAGGCAGCATGAGAATGAATGTTAAAATGTGAAAAAATATGTAGTTGCACTGTTCGCATCACATTCACGTCTCGTAATGTTTATCCTGTATCTCTTGTGTGTAACCCTAGCAGTGTCTGTTTCCATTTGTGATATTACCACCCTCATAAAATCCTTTTCCGAACGCCAAACAATGAGCATGTTCTTAATTCCCCTTCTTCACTCGGCGGTGTAAATGGACACACTACATTTAGTTGATTGGCTGATCATGTTTGCGAGAAAGTGTGGGTAACTCCCACCTCTTTGTGGAAGTGTAGGCCAATTACTCTGCAGAGGGGCTGTCTAGAGCTCCCTCGTGGATACATTTCCATTGATAGTATGAGCAAAGAATTCGAGGGCTGTATCACTTTTATATGAAGCTATACGCAAATGTAACAGTACTCCTTGGGAAAGCCTTCAAGCAGCAGTAGATTATGGACGGCGATTCGAAGAGCTGCTCGATAAAACTTGTCCGTGAACAATTTGCCGATAGTCACGGGATGTACAGCATAAGACATTAACCACTCGAGTTCAAGGTATGCCAATCTATAATATATTACACCCGATATATCACCGCAGTAACACGAGGACACGCTAATGCTCAACAGATGCGGCGTGTGAATAAATTCCCAGAACAATTCCAGACTTGTCTTCTGCCAACCGGCCAGGTTTATTTCCCAGCGTCAGGCACATGAATACATAATGTACAACCATGGTACTGGATCGGGCCCGGTCTGTAACCGTGGCGAGGTCCTCCAGGAGCCGAGAAACCAATTAAATTATCCGTGTCATTGGACGAGCCCAACTTCCACGTGTCCACCGATGACCTACCCCACTCTCATTGCAGCAGAAGCACGACTACTGCCAGAAATGCCTGCATCTAGGCGCCCGGTGAACTCCCTTATATACGCCCCGCGGACGACACGTGGCACCGCGCCACCAATAGGAGCGACACAGCGCGGCGGGGTGGAGGGTGGAGTTTGGTAGGGGGGGGCAGGGGGCGTGCCCTCTACCGCCCTTCGCGCTCCGATTGGTCTCCTCTCTCCGCCCCGCCCCTCCCGGCTCGTGCCGCGGTGACGTCACGCGATCCCCGGCCTGGTCTCTGCGCGGCTCGGCTGGGTGAGTTTGTGACTCCGCGCGGCCGCTGTGGGCGGCTAGGGACGCGCGCACTTTGATGTCCCTCCCCGCCACCACGGTCTTCGCTCAGACACTCGCTCGCGTCGTACAGACGGTTAGCGGCCGGCACGTCGCGCCACGTCGCTCGCTCGCGCGCTCCTGTTTTAAATACCGCTCCCGATACGCTCGCGACGATTCCCCCCACCACCCCATCCGGCGGCGAACGCAATTTTCTTGAATCGATTCTCGCTTCGGTAACTCGCGGCGCGCCGGTTGCATCGCGTGACGGGAGTGCGAGGGACGTTGTGGATTATGATGTAGTGGGACGAATGTGTAAACATCTGTTGTTGTTGCCGCCGCCCTAAGCCGTTCATGAACCAACCTAGACACGGTCTTGCGGGCACGATTCGATCCCTTTAGTTCGTGGAATCGAATCGTTACACGTCTATTTGTGGGTGTTCAGTTTGCGGGGGAGCGGTGGCGCAGCGGTTAGCGCCACGCTGGGCTAACAACCCGGCGACCCCGAGTTGGATTCCCGCTCACGGCCACCAACACCGGTGACGATTTATCTGAACCTGTACTGGGACTCCCCTAGGTCGACCCGGCCTCAAACGAGTACCTGGTGCGGTGTGTAGTAAACATCGCCACTGGGGAGACAAAGGCGGCCGGGCGTGGTGCTGGCCACCCACCCCCCCACTCGTGTACCACAGTGCCGGCAGCCTTCATAGGCGCTGGTCACTCACAGCCACTTGCCCCAACAGTCTGTTAAGGCTGTACGGGGGACCTTTTCCTTTGTTCTGTCGGTCACTCGTCTCCGCCATAGGAACGCGGAATTACCACCACTGACCCCAGAGCTGTGAACGGGGGTCAGGAGTCTGGCTGTAGAAGCTGCATGCGGAACTCTGTGGAATTTGCTGACGAGTTGTCTCTAGCGTATTGCAATGGTCATCAATTTCCCTTCGCCCTTGAAAGGTCGCTATACACATCCTAAATAGAATAGATCAATTTATTAGTTAGCACTTTCTCCCTCGGTATTTTAAAGCAAAAGTCGGTAGTGTGTCTTATAATCCGGCGTGTGTGTGTGTGACCAGAGTTGTGTCACTTCATTAACATCGGGTACAACTTTTGAGTATGTCTCACTTTCCGGAGCGTCTTATCCGAAATATTCCATGCCGTAATTTGACGTTGTAACCTAACGCGTGTGTTTAACTTTAATGTGTTAATGACTTAAGCTAAAGTGTAGGTGCTGTGTAATATATGTACTGTAGATGGTGTTCAATGTTCGGGTAGTGCTCGGCATACCATTGTGCCTGATGAACCGAGTTTCCCAGCTGTGACGTGGGGGAAAAAACATTGCCACTAGTCGGGCAAGTGGAACAAACACTGAAAAGTGGACAAAGGAGCAAACGAATCGGAGCCAGTGGACGAGACTGGTGATGGAATGACGGTCGAAGGCGTGAACCGTGTCCTGGGAGGGTGACCAGCACAGAGATGGAGCAATGCAAACAATGTGCAGGAGATGGATTGCGGTGGTTGGGGGCTTCATCGGTGAATAGACGAGGGCTGAGGATGACGAATGGTGGCTGAGTCGACTCCCAGCCAGGGTTTTGACGCATACGTTCAGCACGCGCTTGTACATCTACTGACGTGTGTGCGTGCTTGCGTGCACCAGCAACTCTTTCGGCGATGGCTCTCCCCGGCTGCCTGCGTTCGGCCGCCGTGGTCCGGACCCTGGCGATGGCGACGTTGATCACGGCGGTGTTGGCGGCCGCGACCGGGGACGAGAGGCGGTCGTCGCGCGTGCACGAGCACGAGCGGCCGCTGAGCGAGCACGTTCACGACGACGATCACGATCACGAGTTCGACCACGAGGCGTTTCTGGGCGCCGAGGAGGCTCGAACCTTCGACCAGCTGAGCCCCGAGGAGAGCAAGGAGCGTTTGGGGTGAGTGCCCGTGGGGAACAGCAGGTGGCTATGGCAGTGGGTCTTCTAGTACTGTGCAGCTTGGATGTAGAATGCGTGTAATGAATGCGGTCACATTGCCAGACTCGTTGTACTAGGGAAGGGGACCGAGCTAGGACGCTGGCGGGAGATCTGAGTTACTTGCCAGGTCACAATCAAGACATCCGTGGTAAGAACTGAACACAGTTCACTCGCTTCTTTTGTGTGGCCAGTGAAGTGCAGTCATTGGAGATTTATTTGTAAGTGATTTAGCGTTTCAATTGCTTTGCATTGTATCTGCAATTCACCACCTTCAAATGTATATTTGGGGCAGTGCGAAGTTACATGATCCTTGGGCATCTTCATCTTGCCACAATCTACGTGCGATAGAGAGAGGCATTTACTCATCGGCGAAGCAAAAGAGGAAGGATTGAACAGGCAGAATGCATTGGCAGCGCACACTGCTATGGGGAGGGAGTTGCAGACAAGAGAAGCAACCTTCCATTGAGAGGTGGACTGGCAGATTTAACAGGTGTCAGATGCTGTCATGGAGTGGAATAGAGTAGAGGAGGATGATGATGATGATGGGAAAGATGGGTTGTAGCCCATGAATTGTTTTCAGTTCTGCACATTCATCTTAACTGTCTACGAATTGCATCACCCGCGCGTGTGGCATATGACCCGTGCCGACCGTATCCCAGGATGATTGTGACGCGCATCGACGAGAATGGGGACGGGCTGGTGACGGAGACGGAGCTCACCGAGTGGATCCGCCACGCGCAGCGGCGCTGGGTGCTGGAGGAGGCGGAGCGGCAGTGGAGCAGCCACGACCTGGACGGTGACGGCTACGTCAACTGGGCCGAGTACAAGAATGCCACCTACAGCTACCTAGCCGGTCCGCACACACGTCCGCGCACGCATGCATGTATAAACACTCATTAATGGAGTTTGGCGAAACATCCCAGAATAAATCATAATCTTTATCAGAATCTTTATTTATCCTGGAGGAATCCGATGAGCTATGAAGCTCTTATTCACAGATGGCCAGTAGGGGCAGGTCAGCAAGTTATGTATGTATGTTGAACTTCTTTCGCACCGTATGCCACATTGGACAACAAAGCTTGACCAATTATCGGCTGTGTTCTGTCTGCTTTACTGTTTGTCTGTGGTTTTCTGTGCCTCTGAATCGCTCTCTCTTTGAGAATGAATAAAAACTTTGTGCTTTACAAATTCTCCATTATTATTGTTATATACCCACGCATTAACCTATCGGTTTGTGTGAAAATGTGTTTGCATATATGCCACGAACATACTTGGTTCATATGTTAGGGCATGATGGTAATAATCATAATGAGTGTTTGAAATTGCGCCCTCCTATAGGCCGGGGCATCTCGTAGCGCTTGAAAAGGCACCCACAGTAAGTGACAGCTGTTTCTGTGGGCGCAAGGTGACCCAGAACTTGGGCCTGATAACAAACAGTCTGCTAGTAGGAGGCAACTATTATTGTTCTATAAAAGCCAAGTTCAGTAAATGTTAAGCACATTGCATTTGTAGTAAATAGGCATGCGTAATTTCAAATCTATTCTTATGCAAATGATTCTTGCAACGAATCTTGTTCGTAACAATCGATTGCTTTGCAATTCAATTTTGATTTAAAGCTTTCGTGACTGCAGTAATTCATATTCTTAGTTTTTTTCGGTAAAGTCACGTTGAAGAGAAACAACAAAATAACAAAATATATATAAAACAATAAAAAATTCTCACGACGTTTCGACCATAACTCAAACGGTCATCTTCAGGTGTGTTGGTTTGCATAAATTTATTTTTAAACGGCGCATTTATTTATTTATAAAAAACGTTAGCGTCATGCGCAGCGATTTGGCAGTTTGCCCAGGACTAGTCCATCTATTTTTTGAAAAGAGGAGGGGGGAGACGAAATTTTATAATGTATGCTGTCTGAAAGCCACTGTAAGCGTGAACAATCAATTAAGAAATATAGATGGACTAGTCTTGGGCAAACTGCCAAATCGCTGCGCGTGATGCTAACGTTTTTTTGTAAATAAATAAATGCGCCGTTTAAAAATAAATTTATGCAAACCAACACACCTGAAGATGACCGTTTGAGTTATGGTCGAAACGTCGTGAGAATTTGTTATTGTTTTATATATATTTTATTATTTTGTTGTTTCTCTTCAACGTGACTTTACCAAAAAAACTAAGAATATGCTTTGCAATTCGTTGGTGGTGATGTAGAGGAGGACCCCGAGGACCCGGACGGGTACCGGGCGATGGTTCTCCGGGACGAGCGCCGCTTCCAGGCAGCGGACGTGGACGGGGATGGGCGGGCATCACGCAACGAGTACGCGGCCTTCCTGCACCCCGAGGAGCACCCGCACATGCGCAACCTCGTCGTCACGGTGCGAACCTGCACCGGGCGCTCGCGCTCGCCAGGGTCCTCGTGTTGCTCCCACCACCCCCGACAACTCCAGCGGACGTTGAACATGCGCACTCAAGCGCACGCTACAGTGGTGCTCGCCATCAACGCTGCCTATATATAGCCTAAGCTGCAGCAAACAATGCGCCATTTGAAGTGTTCATGGATGCCGACACAATGGAACACGGCGGCTTACATTGACGCTCACCAGCACCCACCCACCGCATGGACACTTTACGAGCAAATATTTAAAGGAAGACGCAGCCCAAAAAACAAATATATTGTAGATGGATTAAATATCCAGGCTGTTTCACAGGCTGTTTGACAGATGTTCAAAGCTTCATTCATGGACTTGAAAACCGTAATCAGACATGCATCCATAGTGTGCTTTGGTCTTCTTCTTCCTATACCTGTGTTGATGTAAAGCAATATCTATAATTTTACTTTGAGGTATCATGAGAGCGATAGCACTAGAATGCCTTGGTGACACAGCTGACAGCATCTTGGATGCGGACGCTTGTCAGTACAGGCCACACAGCCGCAGTATTGAACAATATATGTGTTTGTTGGGTTGCATCTCTAAATAAACAGGCTCACACGATAGAGATGCTTACCACATATCAACACTAGCATTATCTGCAAATTCGCAAACACCAGCTTGAAAGTAATACCATTAGACATCACCGACACATCTACAAACATCAATCAGCGCACTGTCCGTGGACGCTTAGATCCGCACACAATACAGCGAAGCTTAAAAATCACAGGCAGACAGAATCAGAATATTTACTTATACTGGAGGAATACACCTGGCAACTTGTGCCTGACCTGGTTGGCGAATCCCTATTCGTGATCTAGCACTTCTGATGCAAGGGTCGGTGAATCGTGCAGGTTCGTGAAAGTTGCAAACCCGCTGGAATCAAGGTGGCCAGGAGGTGTCAGTACAGCAGTCGGATCATTTGAGCCCATCTGTGTAAAACTTTGTTTTGCGTCTTGTCTCCTCGTGTGTATTGGTTTTCTGGAGATGCTCTAATTGCCTCCCAATGTACAAAAAAAAGCACTCCTCAGTATGGAGTTGGCCAAACATCCCAATGCCAGGACTCTGATGAATAAGTGTCTTGAGAGTCAATTCATTGAGGCTATCCGGGATAAATAAAACCGGGGTGCTTGTAATTTCTGAGGACCTCTTGGCAACGTACAGCTCGTTAACCGAAGCCTGGATTCTGATTTCAGGAAACTATTGAAGACATTGATAAAAACGGCGACGGCTTCATCAACGTGGATGAGTATATAGGTGAGGAATGCAAGACAACACGCACGGACACCACTGTGTCCTTGACAACCCCACACACATTCATAAACCGGCGCATCCACTTGCACGTCTACGCTGAGCCAGTGCTTGTACACGCCTGCAGATCACATGTTTTCTAAACCCATGGCACATATGGACCCACAGTGCGGACGCATTGCCCTGTCGTGGAGAATACACTTGTGTGTACCAGAATGCAGACCACGTGCAACTGCACAAGTCCTTCCCGAACGCAGCATCTGTATTCATGTTCCACCCTAAGCCAGCACATGCATCTGAGATTGTCCCTTCCTAACCCAACACATGCAGGAGTATGAGCGCCTCCTTAAGCTAGCACGTGCCCCTCGCTAGCGCCAGAACGCCCACCTGCATGCGTCCTCCCTAATGCAGCACGTACACATCTCTCCCTCTCGGGTGTAGTATACGTAGCTACACGTGGCCTTCACTGGCCCAGCAGGTGCTGCTGCTGCATGCGCCCGTCTCGGGTCCAGTATGTTTACTCAGAAGTATCACGTGCTCCCGCTTGTGTCCCTCCCTTACCCCCCTCTCCTCGGCTTGCCCATGCCTAACGCAGAACGTGTTTGTGCGCGCGTGTCTAGGAGACATGTACAGCGAGGAGAGCGAGGAGGGCGACTCTGAGTGGGTGGAATCGGAGCGGAAGCAGTTTGCAGAACTCCGCGATACGGATGGCGACGGGCTGATGGGGCATGACGAGGTGGCCGCCTGGATCCTGCCCGACGACTACGACCAGGCCGAGGCCGAGTCCAAGCACCTCATCCATGAGTGCGACGATGACCAGGTGGGACGAAGGGCAGTGCGGAGAGGGAGACCGGTGGAAATGCTACCTTGGCAGTTGTGTGTAGTTCTGTAATTGTTCTTAACTTGACGTGCAGTTGAATGAAGGTTAAACCTAAAATGCAAAAAGCTCTTCTCGATACTTGCCTCATCTGTGCATTCTAGTCAAATGTGAGTCAATGCAGGTGTCAATGTTGAATTTTTTTTTTTACAGGGGCTGTTTGTTTTTTTGATTTACATACACATTGAAGGGAAAACTGTTGGGGGATGGGCTTGCAGCGTCGATGCCATTGCGTTGATGATTGATGTTATGCTGTTCGTGTTGCTGATGGGCGTTTTGTCTACTTACAGGATGGGAATCTGACGAGGGAGGAGATTATCGCTAAGTACGACCTGTTTGTGGGCAGCCAGGCCACAGACTTTGGGGAGGCTCTCATGCGGCACGATGAGTTATGAGCCGCATGCACACACGCACACATGACGTACACGTGCATGCATACACCGGTGATGCACACACGTGCTCATGACACGTGCTTATGACACGTGCACTCGCATCAATCACAGTGCCCTTTTTGGCCTAGGTGAAACTGTTTGGACAAGCGCTGTTAGAGAATGCTCATTAAGGCCAGGGCAGTGAAGCAAGCAATATGCAGCCTCAACCACTTTGGTCTTTTCTTTGCCGATGTTCACATGCTGCACCAGGTAATCACTTCAGGCCAAGTTGACCTTAGGGGAAGCCCAAGTAAAGTTCGCCAGTGTCCTGTACTAGAAGTTGAACCCCGAGTTGCTTGGACCGTAACATTGTATCCTAAACATCGCGGCATGGGAACCCATTGTCGTGTCGCAGACTAACACCTACACTCACCAACACACGCAGCGCATGAGTAACTGTGTGCATACTCCACTGCACGCGTGTGCATTATATCCACGTGCACACAGGTAGATGCCCGTAAACCATGTGCATATGAATAGGCAGCACACACTCGGGGGAGAGCACATGTCTGGTTGCAAGGAATACATCACGTAGCTTACAGATTACTGGCTCCCACTATACAGACCACCCCAAGGCAATGTCAACCTCCCCGAATCACTCGATGCCAACCCAGTCCCCAGGGCCTTCTAAAGCCATCCCGTGTTACCATGGGCATGCTCAGTGTCCCTCGGGCCTTCCAGGCCTTGCCACATTTAATAAGCTGAGTCGACACATGAGCAAACTGTTAACTTTCCGTCTTCCAATTGTGAGTCGGGCACTCCGAATTATAGCCAACATACCACGAGCACTTTTTATGATGCAGTTTTTTTGTCACTGAGCAGATCAAAATGATTTAACACGCAAACTTGTTTACACACAATGATTTATCAGGATTGGACGCTAGCATCTTTGAGGAGCTAGCTCATATTCCTGACATGGGCCTCTGAGCTATCTGGTTACCTCGCTTTCATGCTTTCAATAGTAACTCAAAGGCTTGCCCGAAACCAGGGTTAATTGTGGTGGTGTGGTGAGCGTAAGTGTCCCGTCTAAGTGTGTGTGCAAGCAGTGGAGGCTGTGAACGCTATTAAAGTACAGAACGTTGATTTGCTGGTGGCACAGGGACATGCATTTATCTATTGTGCTTATATCCATTAAAGGTTTCTGAGTTTCAGTTCATTGTTTAAATACGTTGTGTCTAGTGGAATAAAGAAGGTTAGTATAAGGTATAGAATGGGGTGATTCTATGAAAGAGGTAGAGACAGGGCGATTGATGTATACGTATTTCAGAAGGAATTGAGACCTGGGGACATATGAGACCCTGTTTTCCAAAATTCTGTTCCGAGAAGAAAACGTGGTATTTTAAACTGCAGTCAACAGGACACTTTATAATTCCATATACAGTACATCATGTTGTCAAAAGCGCTGCCCACTTTATTCAAAATTACACTAAATTAGGAGTTGACAGTTGGGATGAAAATGTACTGAATATCATTTTTAAGCTGAGATGTTTACAACAATTCCATAAGGAATCTTAAAACGATCTGAATGTACTGCACTCGATGATCTTCCAGATATTAGCACTAATATATTATCATAAAGTAAACTACCTAAATGCCCCATTGTGGCCAAAATCTTGGTCTCCTGGAACTGATTCCGAGGTTGAAAAATGGCTTCATGTTCCACCCAGCCTTAGATTTCACAAGCCGAGAAACGTTAAATTTCACATTGGTTCCATCCTTTTAGCAATGTATTGTCCAACTGGAAGTACAACAATATTATAATTGCTTATCTATACGAGCCAAGAATACATATATAGGGCAGTGGAGAAGAGGTGGCTTTGCTCTAAAGTCTAAAGGAACGTACTTCGGTTTACAGGACCTATTGAAAGCTGTTTGGTCTCTAGCACCACGACTGCTCTGGAGGGCATTCTAAACATCTAGATCCTCTACCACCGTCAAGAGTCCACTCATATAAGCGAATCACATAGCTATGCTGTGCGATGGTCACGGTTGCTGTATCGGGAGTGCATGGTGTTTTTCAGTTGAATGGAGTTTTTCACGTGAAAGAAAGTTACATGAAAGAGGTTCCATCTGATCTGAAGATTATCAATCCACAATGCCTCTTAAACATATGGCCTAAATCTCTCTTAAAACCTACGAGCGCTAAAGTGGGTTAAAATTATAGCCTACCCAGATTGCTTATGTCATCGAAATTAAAGCTCAAATTAATGGTGACCACAATTGAAATCCACGTGAGCAGCACGTGTTCATTACCTACAATTGGAAGCCCTTCAGAGCTAATCAATTTTATCCGTGGACTTTCGCTCGTATGAATACAAATACAATTTTTTATAAGTGACATACCAATAATGATCGGAGGAAATCTCAAATAACCGTTGAATCGAATCATTTCAATCAAAAAGGAAGAAAGTCTAAATTTGGTAAGTGTTCAAGTCGAAATCAAAATGGTTCACGCACGCCGCGTGATGCTGCTGCTGCTGCTGCGTGCCTTGGAGTCGGGTGCAGCCCACGGGTCTGCAGCTCGCCGTGGAACGGGTGATCGTGTAAAGATGCGCAAATGCGCTCGGAAACCCAACTGCCAATGAAGATGGATAGGCTGTAACCACCTCATTGCTGTTGCTTCAACGAAATACACAGCTCTTAACTCAATGCTACGTTCACACTGAAATGACACTTAAATAAAGCACACACAAGCACAATAACACCGCAATAACAAACAATGCACTCCAAACAGTAACAATGCAATGACTACAATGGGAGTATAATACAACGTAAATTGTATAGATGCAAGTTAATGACCGTGTGTCAGTGCAACGCTGCAATGTTGATAACCTTATAAACGATGACATGCTTCTGCACCTCCGATTAGCACGGTGTGCTATGTACGGCGCAAAAGAAGTTCAACACGCGTACAACATCTGCCGCAATCACCAGGTGGTACACACTACAATTATTAGCTTTGTAACCGTGAACCGTAAGCGAAACACTGCATTAACCGAATGGAAATAGTTCAACTGGACGTATAAAAATTAATCGGAAGGAAATGACAGTGTTGTATCGATTGAGACTCACGGCACATCGTTTGGGACACGTGTTCAGCAGTAAGCATCGCGTCATCAGCTGCTCTCACTGTAGACTGCCCCACAGTCACTTTCCTTCACAATTTAAGTATTTTGATTTAAAGCTTTCGTGACTGCAGGGATTCATATTCTTGGTTCTTTCGGTAAAGTCACGTAGAAGGGAAACAATAAAATAATAAAAATATAAAATAAAGTAATATTTATAAATTTTATTTTATATAAAAATATAAAATAACATTTACATTATTATTTTATTGTTTCCCATCTACGTGACTTTACCGAAAGAACTAAGAATATGAATTTAAGTATTGTTTTGTCTCACTTGTTTGACTTGTTATTTTAATTATTGTCGCGGCATTTAAAGTGTTTATTGTTTCTATACCATGAGTTGTGGACGTTATATATTTTTCACCAAAAATCGAAAGTGTGTGCCCCGCTTAAAATTTTGCTCGCTACAGAAATGTTTGATTTATTCGCAAAACAATATTCATTTGTGGAATAAAAATTAATAGATTTATACTGCATGCGTACGAGAGCTGGATTAGCATCTTCGTCTTACTCAGCGCTTCCTACTTAAGCAGCATCTGCCACGTAATATGTGCCAAGTAAAACAACATAGCTATGTGTGAAGTTAAATGGCAGATGGATATGCCACGATTCGTTCGAAAACCTTAAACCTTAATAGTATTATAGTATCATTTTATATATAAAGCACCTGTCCCGCACATTAATTACACCTGCCACGATTTATATTGCTGTGTTTCTCGGTATATTCCAGCTTTTGGCGCTTTCACCATCACGTTTCTGATTTAGCCAATGTCATAACAGTTTAGTGTCTCTTTAACTGTTTAATAATCCCCTAAACTAGAGGGCTTTTTTTACTTCTGTACATTGACTTTTACAGACTTTAATTCTGAATATGTTTTTTTTGTGTGAAAACAACAAAGTTAATTTTTACGTGCCCTTTAACTTTTTCTCACACTGTAAAACATTAAATGCTGGGGTTGTTTGTTTTAACAATGTTTACTTTCTAACCCTACAACAAAAAATCCTTATCGCAGCGTCTTCTCAAAATTGCCTTGAGCGTGCAGAGTGATTCTAACGGCGCACACGAGTGGGGAGGTCTCGTTTCGATGTCGGCACCTTTGCCCACACAACTGTAAGCAGTTGCCTGTAATGTGAAAGTTTGAGGTTTTTTTAATCATGCCTACTTTAGAGGTTTTTTTTTGACAATTTTTGTGTACGTTTTTGTCAAATGAAACACTGAACAGTTAATAGATGAAGAAACTAAGATTGATAGAACATGCAGTATTGTGTCCAGCTCATAAAATATAATAACTTGTTTGAATGTTTTTTGTGTATTTTTGTAATTCTGAATGGTTCGTAACACTATGCAAATGAAAGACCTGAAAACTCTGGTTTAAAAATAAAATGACTTAAATCAAAAATTGGCTTAAATTGCTGAAAAGTCAGTACCATATTTTAAAAAAATGCACGGTGCCTTGAGCTGTTTGCGTGGCCCTCTTTTTTGGGTGCCAGGGAGTGACTTGACCTCTAAACCGTGATGACAGCTGGGATAGGCACCGGTGTCATTTAAACATCTGTAACTGAAATGGTTTAGGTGTGTCGTTGAGGAGAGAGGGGGGGATTGACCATACTTCACCACCCCGGTCAATGCAGGTTGGTGAAGGTCTACAATGCATTTGAGCCTCATTCTAACGGCAAGGCAGTGCTGTGTTGAAAGTGGATTATTTGATCGCAGGATCGTGAGAGGTTGTGTTGGCTTGAAAATACTGTCATCCACCAGTGGATTAACCACGGATGATCATGAACTAAAATGACAATGAAAAATGCGTCGTCACCAGAAGCAGCCGACACAGAAAGGAATTTATTTATAACATTAACATAAACGAAGTTGAGGCCTAGTGTGCCAGGGACCAGGCATGCCTCGCCTGGGCCCCCGTACCTCCCAGGGAACGGAATCTAGGAAAGAACAGGGAACGCCCTTGGCAATCTTTCTCAGCCATGTGGATGCATGGCAAGTGACGTTACTGCAATGAGCCAAGAAGAATATCTGATTAAAGCTGGAAAACTTTTTTATTCTACCGATTTTTTGGCCAACCCTTGGACAAATTTTCCCCATTTGTCTCTCGGGAAAGGCCCTCGGTACAAAACAACTCGACGACGGTTCACTCCAATGTACTTCGACTGGATCACCTTCGCGAGCGCAATCTTTACCCCGAAAATGCATCAAAGCCATCAACATTGGTTGGGAAAACGTTGAAAAGATAAGTGCCCCTCTCCTTTGAACTTTTTTCGCAACTCTACGTAGCCAACATCTCGGTGCACCTCGCCGGTCAGTTTATTGGTGAGCAGTTTCCTGTCATCGGGCCTGCAGTTGTCCCTCCTCCAGACTAATGCTCCCCACATCTCTCGTTGTTTGCTTAGCTGGGGTGGTTTCTCCCTCATCGCATTTCTTCCCCCTCCCCTTTATCCAGGCTGCGTTGTTCCGTGATCGAGTCGTGGTGGTATTGTTGATCATTACGTTGGCAATATATGCCCTGCATATTGTTAATTTAATTAGCCCCCAAAGCCGAACGCTGTTGATTCAGATGATGATGGTATTCGTTTATTCTTTGTCTGGAGAAACATCCAACTTACATACTTGCATACTCTCAATGGCCTTGCTACGGTGGTGATGTGCTGTTTGGTTTACTTCTGACAATCGTGGTTATGGATCCACTAGAAACTAACGGAATTTTATTCTATCCCTGCTATCCATGTACTATGACCTATTTTATTGAGGGTCGGGGATGCATATATCAGAATCAGAATATTTATTTATACTGGAGGAATCCGATGAGCTCCAAAGCTCTTTGTCACGGATGTCTAGTTAATTCAGGGGCACCACTTGGTGAGTGTTAAACTCTATAGACATGTTTAAACGCGAACCAATGAGTAACGATACAATCTGCTTTTGTCTGTCGTTGTATTCTGCTCAAGCACTCACCCCGATATATATACACACGAGACAGTCTTTGCCAAAATGTTTTACTTTCCTTTAAGAATTCAGCAGAGGTGGACTCAGCCCCAGCCCTGCTCGTCTGTGTGACAGTTCCTGTGTCACTATCACCTACTAAGAATTGAGTTTTTAAATCTGCGGAGTTTTTTTTTCATCTCGCAAAGTTAACAATCTTCACGGAGTTATTGCACAGTTAAATAATACGGCACACAGCGGTTTATCTGAATAATTATCAAGATTGAGCAGACATTCGTACAACTGGTCAATACAGACGGCACGTGCCACGGATGGTACCAAAACGGTGGTATTGTGTGCAAGTGGCGCGCTACCATTTCATGATGACAGAACTTCACCTGATGAGACGCGTACTTAAGGCACAAGATATATGGGTGGGCTTTAGAGAATACGTTCAATGTAATGTATCCACGATGCTGGTGAAATACACTGGTAGTGCAATGTTTATACATGTCAAAATCTCTCCAACAGTGTAGAAAGTCTGGATAAGTAAAACTGTGGTGTACCTTGGGGGGTCAGCTGTTGACTCCCAACAACAGCTGATGGCTCGTACAAAAGGAAGCGTTGGCGAGTTGTGGTGGCATCAACGGCACTGGTGGTGGCGGCGGTGGTGACCTCTCGACCTCGACTGCATCAGTGCGGGCACCAGTAGGGGGCTCGCTATTGTCCTGCTTCGACGGCAGCGAGAGGCTCCTTGGCAGGCGTCGTGAGGGCTGTGCGCAGCCACCAGAGTCCACTGAGCAGAGAGTTCACCACGCCTGCAGTGGGGACGGAGGGGAAAGTGAGTGGGCAGAGTAACAAGGAAACGCCACGTGTGTGTACGTGTGTGTACGTATGTGTATATGTGGGAGGAGCTCGCTAACAGCACTTGCCCCTACAGTCTGTTAAGGCTATATGGGGGATCTTTATCTTTATATGTGGGGAGCGGTGGTGTAGCGGTTAGCGCGATGCACTACGAACCCGGTGACCAGAGTTCGATTTTTGCTCAGCCAACACCAGTAACGATTATCTGAATCGGTCCTGGGCCTCCCCTAGGTCGACTCGGTGTCAAATGAGTGCCTAATGTTGTGTGTAAAACATCGCCACTGGGGAGACAAAGGCGGCCGGGCGTGGTGCTGGCCACCGACCCCCTCGTGAGCCGTGTTGGCCTTCATAGGTGCTCGCTAACAGCACTTGCTCAAACAGTCTGTTCAGGCTATGCGGGGAATTTTAGTTTTTGGATATGTTGAACTTCTTTCGCACCGCACGCAGCCAACCATGCTAATCGGAGGTGTGGGGGAAGGACATTAACCTAAACACAAAAAACAGTTCTTAAATTAGTTTTCAATCTAGATTTAAAAGTAACAAAGAAAAAGCGACGTTTCAGTCGCAACAACAAGCGTCCGTCTTCAGGACGACCGAAACGTCGTGTTTTCTTTTGTTATTTTTTTTCTATCTACGTGACTTTACCGAAAGAGCCAGAGAGTATGGATTCATGCAGACACGAAAGCTTCAAATCAAGACTAGATTTGAAAGCGCACAGCTCCAGTGGCTTCTGAAAGCGCCGCGCGACGCGTTGACCGCCGTCTGTGTTCGAAGCCAAAAGTTGCCGCCGCTGCAAGCATCACCATCGGAGTTCACGGTGTCACCAAGTCCCTGTTGGTTCCTAGCCGCTCGTTGTACGGGCGACCGAGTACCCCTGGGGAGGGGTGGAATCCCATGGCCGCGACACCGAGACTGATCCTAGGTTCGAGGCCAGGTTCACTGATGTCAAGAAGGTTCTAGTCATCTAGTGCGCCATGTGTTCATTAAAACAATTCTAAGCGTGTACGTGTAAGCCTTTAACATGCACTTGCTCAAAATAGATATTATTGTGGTCATAAACACGCACAAAACTATTTATCATCCGATGGATTATTTAAAATTATGCTGAGTGCATTCAATTTATATTCTTGGTTCTTTCGGTAAAGTCACGTAGAATTTTATTGTTTTATATTTTTTATTATTTTTATTGTTTCCCTTCTACGTGACTTTACCGAAAGAACCAAGAATATGAATCCCTGCAGTCACGAAAGCTTTAAATCAAAACGCATTCAATTCGTCTACGATTCGAGCCGCCCTTTCCCCGTCCCGTACCCAAGGTCTGGAAGATGCCTCCGGCGAGACCGCAGAGCCTCACGGCGAAGTGCGCGTACGAGACGCTCTCCTCCGCCACGTGCACGCGCAGCGGGGCGAACGAGAAGCGCACGAAGATCCCTGCGACACGCACACACGGCGCTCGCACGCCGCACAGCAGCGCAGCGACGCGAGCGGCGGTGGGAGTGAGGGAGGGGGGGGGGTCCTCACGGTCTCGGCGTGCGAGACGACGACAGTGGCTTGATGCGCTGGCAAGGGGGGCAAGCCCAATCCAAAATGGGTCGCGATGGAATTTTTTGTTATTTTAAGAGGAGAAAGGGGTGGGATGCTGGGCGTGGTGATAGGGGGTGGCATGAGACGGATGGTGGGGCAGACGAGAAATTAAGGTGGTAGGATGGAGAGTAGATGACGAAGGTGGTGGGAATGGAGGAGTGATTGAGGTGGTCAGATCAAGGTGGGGCGGGATGGTGTGGGGTGAGATGATGGAGGAGCCATGCCGGTGGTGGAATGGGGTTGGTCTGCAGTTGGTGAGATGGGTGGAAGCTAACTAACCCCCTCTTCCTGATGACGAACGCTTGTATTGCGATCGAAACGTCGTGGTTTTTTGTTATTTTCTTTGAACCTATCTACGTGGCTTTACCAAAAGACCCAAAGAATATGAATCCCTGCAGTCACGAAAGCTTTAAGTCAAGATTTATGGGTGGTAGGATTGAGATGACGGGATGAGGAAGGGTGAGATGGAGATGGGATGCAGACTGAGGGATGTTGTAGGCTGGGTTTTGTGGCAGGGTGTGTGGGGTTAGGGTTATTGGGTTGCATCGAGGCAGTGGAGTTCATCTGTTGCAGGAGATGGGAGGTTTGATGCAGGATGGATCAAATGGTGGGATGTTAAGTGTGCCAGAGGGAGGCAATGAGGTAGAATGGTAAGGGATTGGAGGGTGGATATGGGGTGGAAGGAAGCGTGAGGCCAAGGTGGCTCAGCATTGTGGGCGGTGTGGGCGTGCGCCGTTACCTGGGACGGCGTGCCTGCGGCGTCGGCCTGGTGAGTAGTCGTGGTCTGCCACCACGTGCTGCAGTGAAAGTGTTGCCGGGGGTAAGAGGGTGTGAGAGGCGGGAGTCATGTCATCACAGTAAACTCTCAAGTTATGGTTGTCCAGTCATCCTCGTAACAATTTGTACAGGTGACTTTTGCCCGACTTGGAGCTGGTTTATTTTTCCCACGAGAGGTGGGTCACATATTAAGATAAACAATTTACCAAACACTGAATAATCATTACGCTTTATTGTGGAGAATGTATGGGACGTGTGCGTTATTTAACTTTGTGTGTGTCTGTGTGTTTAGACTGTCGTCCTTCCCCTCGCACCTCCGAGGAGCACGGTTGGCTTACGTACGGTGCGAAAAAAGTCCAACGCATATTGGTGAAAGTATCACCACCGGCTACTGGTAGAGTACTCAATTCGGCAGAGAAACTAAACTGTTTTTATTTTATTTTAGCAGCTAAGGCCCACTGAGCTATGTAGCTCTTTTCTCAGAAGCCACCTGGCCACAAATGATAGCCCAACAAAGAGGCTTATCACGTGGCATTTTATACCAGCCAAATATTCGAAACGCACGTTGATTTTAAATGTAGGGGTAAAGCCAGGGGGAAAAATACACAGGGAGAGAGAGAGCCGTGCAACCTCAAAATATACAACCTCGCGTCAAGGGTTGGGATCGAACCCACGAGCACCTGTATACCAGGCGAGGATAGTGAACATCTCCGAGCCACCCCACCTGCTCCGTGACGGAGTACTGATGCGTGTCTACGTGCGCGCTCCGAGTGCGCACGCGCGTGGGCACCACCTGCAGGAAGTACTGGAACTTCTGCATCTCTGCGAAGACAGACGGCGAGGTGGATGAGGTGGAGCGATGAGGCAGGCAGCCCCCCAAACCCCCACCACCCACAACGACCGCAGCGATAAACCAAACCGCGTTCGCACAACGCCGTGCGCAATTGTGGAGCGGTAGCAATTTTGATGGTGGGCATGCAATGATCATGCAAGAGCCGTGCCAGGTATACGAGTCGTTTACGTGTGCGGTAAGGCGAGCGTTGAGTGGCGTGGTTAACGAGGAGGCGGCGCTAACAACCCGGCCACCACCGAGTTCCATTCTCGGTCACACGTTACAATCGTCGGCACATATCTGAACCCATTCTGGCACAATCCTTAGATCGTCTTCGTCTTCAAATGAGTACCGGGGATACAGAACTATGCAGGGAATAGTTCTGGCTACACCAACCCCCTCGTGAACCATGTTGCCCTTCATAGGTGCTCGCTAAGAGCACTTGTCCTAACAGTGTTGCATGGCTATACGGGGGGATCTTTGGTGTGCACGTGGTGTGCACGTGGTGTGCACGTGGTGGGCACGTGGTGGGCACGTGGTGGGCACCTCGTGTGGCCGTGCGCGCGTCCCCGTCGAGCGCGTTGACGATGCCCGGCGCGCGCTGCCCGAACGACAGCTCGTCGATGCGGTGCGAGAAGTTAAAGCCTGCGGTAGCACGGCACCACAGCCATCGTCATCATCCACCTCGTCGTCGTCCACCTCGTCACCTTCATCAACACCAACTTCATCATCACCACCACAGTCCACCTCGTCACCTTCATTACCACCAACTTCATCATCACCACCACCACCGTCCGCCTCGTCACCTTCATCACCACCAACTTTATCATCATCACCACCGTCCACCTCGTCACCTTCATTACCACCAACTTCATCATCACCACCACCACCGTTCACCTCGTCACCTTCATCAACACCAACTTCATCATCACCACCACCGTCCACCTCGTCACCTTCATTACCACCAACTTCATCATCATCACCGATCACCTCGTCACCTTCATCAACACCAACTTCATCATCACCACCCCACCGTCCACCTCGTCACCTTCATCACACCAACTTTATCATCACCACCACCGTCCACCTCGTCACCTTCATTACCACCAACATCATCATCATCATCATCACCGTCCACCTCGTCACCTTCATCAACACCAACTTCATCATCACCACCACCACCGTCCACCTCGTCACCTTCATCACCACCAACTTTATCATCACCACCACCGTCCACCTCGTCACCTTCATTACCACCAACATCATCATCACCGTCCACCTCGTCACCTTCATCAACACCAACTTCATCATCACCACCACCACCGTCCACCTCGTCACCTTCATCACCACCAACTTTATCATCATCACCACCGTCCACCTCGCACCTTCATTACCACCAACTTCATCATCATCACCGTCTGGGGCTGTGGGGTAACCCCATGAGCCACCCGCTGACGTTGGTCATCGATGTGTGTGTGTGTGTTGAACTTCTTTGCACCGAATGCAGCCAACCGTGCTCATCGGAGGTGCAGTGAGGTACTCACTTTCCTCGGGCAACATGTAGTGCAGGATGTGCGCGTGTCCGTGGCGGTGACCTCGTGACCTGCAGACAGATGCGCGCGAGCGTGAAGGGCACGGCACGGTCACGCGCCGTGCGGATGTTGCAGTACGGACGATGAGACAGGAAATTAGATGGAAGATGGTGAAACGGGAGATGATAGGGGAGATTAGATGAGAGGTAAGATGATGTGGAATGGAAGATGAGATGAGATGTAAGATATGGGCAATGATATGGGAGATGAGATGGAAGATAAGATATGGAGATGATGGGGATGAGATGGGAGATGAGATGGAAGATGCTGCATTGAACTTGCGCGTACACTTACTTCCCGGGGACGATGTGGAAGTTTCCGGGCACCTGGAGAAAATAATCAGAATTTAAAAAAACGTGCTGGAGCACAATTACTCACGCCAGGGCCAGGCGCTCCCACACACGCACCCGTTCATACATCCCCCATGGTCCTATATATTGCAATGGCGTTAACCGGGTGGAATCTGAATAATGTTACCTACCTGTCTTCAGCGAGAGAGATAAATAGTCATAACTCTACCACGTGCCCCACGCATTGACTCGCCTCACCCTCTGCATCAGTCCTCCACGTGTTCTACGAGCATTACTCGCCACATAAACAAAGGTGGCTACCGCTCGTCGTCCACGTTCGTAATCTGCCCCCCCCCACCCCTCCGTGAGCCTCGCGCGTTGTCCTCCGGCGTCTGTCACCTTCTTGGTGATCAGCGTGCCGTGAATGCGGCACGCGTCCGGCTCGCGGTCCGGCAGCTCCCCCCCACTGCTCTCCTCCCTGTGGTGGGAGGAACGGATTCGGGGTAGGGGGTTAGAGGTCGGGGATGGGGGAGGGGGGCTCTCCGTCACTGATTACGGTGGGAAGAGTGAGAAGTCTCATTACAGGACCACGCATGCCGTGGCGTATCGTCAGAAGGAATCACCTGAGTGACGAGTGGCTCAACCCAGGTGCCTCACCTGGGTGTCTCGCCCAGGTGGCTTATCTGGGTGGCCCACCTGTATGGCCAGCCTGGGTGACTCACCTCTGGGGGCTTAACCAGGTGGCTCGCCTGGATGGCTCGCCCGGGTGTCCTGCCTAGGTGGCTCACCTGGGTGGCTCACCCAAGTGGCTCATCTGGGTGACCCACGCAGGTGGCTCACCTGGGCGGCTCAGGCCTCACCTGGGCGGCATGCGCTCGCTGAAGCCCTCCTTGAAGAGCACGTCATGCAGGCCCTGCTCGACAGCGAGGCGCACCTTGAGAGCCTGCACTCTCCTGCACGGGGAGGTGAGTAGAGGGGGAGCAGGATCAGTGAGTGCGGCGGCGGAGGGAGACACGGGGACCAAGGGAGAGTGCCACGAAAGAACACAGTGAGGGGACAAAGCGATGGAGGAGGCAGGAAGACAGAACACGATAGAGGGTGGTGTGTGTACAGGTGTGGACAGGTGGGGCGCATAAATATGTGTTCGGCATGCATATGTGGCACTTACAGGTAAGTTAGACATACAGGTGCGGTGCATACGGGTGCAGTACATACAGGTGTGTTAAATATATACAGGTGTTTGCAGGGTATAGGGTGGAGAACGTCTGTGAGAGTACATGTGCTCATAAGGTGCACGTAAGCGCGTGTCACTTGGGCTCCACTCACTCCTGCCACTTCAGCTGGTTCTCGCTCAGATCGAAGTAGGCCTGGGAGGCGGGCGGTGATGGACACGCACACACACGCCTGAGTTGACGCACACACACACACACACCTGAGTTGACACACACACACCTGTGGTGCACAGGTAACTGCCGTGGCGTCGTTCAAAGAAGAGTAGACCACGTATGTCAGCTTCCTACCGGCTCTACACGCGACAATAAAGTCCGTCGCATGACTGTCAAAGCAATATTCTTGGTTCTTTTGGTAAAGTCACCACGAAGAAGGGAAACAATAACAACATTTAAATACAAAACAATAAAATTCTCACGACGTTTCGATTGCAACACAAGCAATCATCATCAGATGTGGAAACCACAGCAAGAAAATTAGAAAAAGTGGCGGGTTTTTTTTACGTTAGCACCACGGAGAGCGATTTGTCAGTTATTCAGTTGGACGAGTCCATCTATGTTCGGAAAAGAGGAGGGGGGAGACGAAAATAATGGATGCGGTCTGAAAGCCACCGAAAGCGTGGACAATAAATTAAGACCCGAAATGGTTTATCAAATCCTTCCAATGATTGCTAAGCCAGAATCCATCTTCTCGGTTGAAATTGTCTCTGTGTTTGTATATGTGGATAGCCTAATGAACGAATTCACTCCTGGTAGCCAGATGGGCTTGCAAAGAACCTCTGTCTTGGAGAAGTCAACGTCATGTGAGCCTACTGAATTATAACAGTGATCTGCCACACAAGATCCAGGTCCGATTCAAACACATTACATAAAATCCGTGATCTGGTTCCGTCTGTAAAAGTTGTGATTCCGGACATACAGTATCCTGGCGTCTACAAACTAAGTTGCCTCTGTGGTAGTAGTTACATTGGAGAAACCAAAGGTGCTCACCACCATTCTGGGATGAAGATATTGCCCTACCTCGCAAGATGGCCGCCAGAGGCATGCGCGGCTCCCGGGCCGCGCTCCCAGCAGCGGCTGGCGGGGCCGTTGTGAGGGGGCCCAGGGAGCCGATGGAGGGAGCCGAGGGAGTTGAGGGGGCCGACGGAGCCGGAGGGGCCAACGGTGGCCGGGGGAGCCGGGGGGGCCGACGGGGCCTGGGGGTGGGGGCGACGGAGCCAGGGGGGGCCGACGGAGCCGGGGGGGCGGGACGGAGCTGGAGGGGGGCCGACGGAGCCGGGGGGAGGCCGACGGGAGCCAGGGGGGGCCGACGGAGCCGGAGGGGGGCCGGACGGAGCCAGGGAGAGGCCGACGGAGCCGGGGGGGGCCGACGGAGCCGGGGGGGGCCGACGGAGCCAGGGGAGGCCGACGGAGCCGGGGGGGCCGACGGAGCCGGGGGGGCGGACGGAGCCGGGGGGGCCGACGGAGCCAGGGGGGCCCGACGGAGCCGGGGGGGCCGACGGAGCCAGGGGGGGCCGACGGAGCCAGCGAGGGCCGACGGAGCCGGAGGGGGCCGACGGAGCCAGCGGGGGCCGACGGAGCCAGAGGGGGCCGACGGAGCCAGGGGAGGCCGACGGAGCAGGGGGGGTGCCGACAGAGCCAGGGGGGGACCGACAGAGCTGGGGGGGGGGCGACGGAGCCAGGGGGGGCCGACGGAGCCGGAGGGGGCGACGGAGCCAGGGGAGGCCGATGGAGCCGGGGGGGGCCGACAGAGCCAGGGGGGGACCGACGGAGCTGGGGGGGGGGGGCGACCGGAGCCAGGGGGGGCCGACGGAGCTGGGGGGGGCCAACGGAGCTGGGTAGAGGGCCGACGGAGCCGGGGGGGTGGCCGACGGAGCCAGGAGGGGGTCCGACGGAGGCCGGGGGGGGGCCGACGGCACGAGCAGAGGGAGTCGACACTGACCTTTCTCATACATCATACACTGACTCACTCACACCATGCACTGACTCACTCACACATTATGCACTGACTCGCTCATCATGCGCTTACTCACTCACACATCATACACTCGCACAACCACTGACCCATTCACTAATCATACACAGGTTCACTCATCGTGTGCTGGCTCACTCGCACATCATACACTCACTCACACTGCCGCTGACTCGCTCACACATGATACACTGACTCACTCATCGTGTGCTGACTAACACATCGTGCGCTGACTCGAACATCATACACTCACACTGCCGCTGACTCACTCGCACATCATACACTCCCTCACACTGCCGCTGACTCACTCGCACATCATACACTGATTCACTCATCATGCGCTAACACATCGTGCGCTGACTCACACATCATACACTCACTCGCACATCATACACTCACTCACGCTGCTGCTGACTCACTCACACATCATACACTGGGAGTGTCGTGCTGCCAGCTATGGCTGCAGGTTTTTGTCGTAGTGTTATGTATATCGTTTATCGTTAAATTTAAAATCACAGTCCTATGATTACTGTTGTTACATTGTTTTTGTAGCTTTATTTTGGTCTGGTTGTGGTGTAATAGTTTTCTGCAATGTAGATTCATATTTTGTTTGTTGCGGTTGCACCCGACTAAAGAGCCGCATAGCTCACAGGGCTATACCTAATAAATGAAACTTGAAATGTCTCGGACCGCATTCGTGAACACAAAGCAGACCTAAAACACGGGAGGACCAACACCTCGGCCGTGGCAGATCACTGTTATAATTCAGTAGGCTGACATGACATTGACTTCTCCAAGACAGAGGTTCTTTGCAAGCCATCTGGCTACCATGAGAGATTCGTTCATGAGGCTATCCACATATACAACACAGAGACAATTTCAACCGAGAAGATGGATTCTGGCTTAGTAATCATTGGAAGGATTTGATAAACCATTTCGGGTCTTAATTGATCGTTCACACTTACGGTGGCTTTCAGACCGCATCCATTATTTTCGTCTCCCCCCTCCTCTTTTCCGAACATAGATGGACTTGTCCACCTGAATAACTGACAAATCGCTCTCCGTGGTGCTAACGTAAAAAAAAAAACCCACTTTTTTCTAGTTTTCTTGCTGTGGTTTTCACACCTGATGATGATTGCTTGTGTTGCAGTCGAAACGTTGTGAGAATTTTACTGTTTCATATTTTTTTATTTTATTGTTTCCCATCTACGTGACTTTACCGAAAGAACCAAGAATATGAATCCCTGCAGTCACGAAAGCTTTAAAACAAAAGTCAAAGCAATGTTTAATTCTCAGAGCTGGAATTTTTGGCCGATGCAGGTAGAACTAAATAAAATCGGATGATCTTTTTTTCACGTGCAGTCATTGGTGACTGGGCTAAGACCATGTATGCTGAACTTATTTAGCACCGTACGTAGCCAACCGTGCTAATCGCAGGTGCATGGGGAGGACAACAAACGAAACACTCCATCTGAGACCAAACTTTATTCATTGGTGGCTTGCTTGTATTCAAACCCAGGTTCTCGGCGGTGCCGGCCACCGGGACCACCTTATGTCTCCTACATCTTAGTGTCAATTCAAAGACCGTGATGCCTCCTTGAAGAGCGAAGCCAACATCCCCCCCATTTGGTCCCCAGCTGCTCTCTGTGGCTGCTGCCTGATTCTGGGATCAGTGCCCCCCTGCCAGGTGGGAATCAAGATGAAGTTGGGGTTAACAGAAAGATAAACCAAATGAGACAATATTGGTGTGTAGTTACAGGCTGGTTTGCAACAAGCCCAGGAAAAATCCTATCGTGGATAAGAGACGTGTGTGTGTATATGTGTGTCATGAGGTGCTCGCTAACAGCACTTGCCCCTACAGTCTGTTAAGGCTATACGGGGGATATTTGTCTTTGCCATGAGACCTTGGGAATGCTTACCGGTTCCTCGTTCAGTGAGCCTGCATAGTTACCAAAGAGGTCCACAGCATCCCCACCGATATCTGAAAGTGAGCACAGGTGCAAAATTATGACGGTAACTGTGTCACTTTTGGGGGTAAGTGTCACGTGAGTGCCTAGTATGGTCTACGTGGCCCACACCGAGAACATTCATCAGCCCTTGTGCTCCAAACGCACGAGTTGACACGCAAAGTGCACCATGTTAGGATGGGTAGATCAATGGGAAACTGGCTTCTGCGTACAGAGTCCGGCTTTGATCAAGATATTGGCCTTTTGCGCAAATGTTTCTGGCAGCATTGCAAAAAGCAAGCAAATGCTTGCAGGCCGATGGAGCAAACTGCCCGTGACCGGTTTCAGACATCACTCGCCACCGATGTTTCGTCATGGCCAGGAATTAAACTCAGGCTACCAGGTTCAGTGTGCAGCGCTCGAAAGAATGTGCCACTGCTCCACCACCCGAGTAATCATTGGTAAGCCCGAAAAATTGCACCCGAAACATCTTATATATATAAAAACAAGTTTTATTTTGATATTGTATCTTTCCCATTCAGAATATCACTCAGCTGTATGCATCACACATGGATGTATAATAACGTGACAATGCTTACACTTGCATTCCATGGCAACTGTGATGTCTACATTGATGAGCAGTGACCTGGAAACACACGCACATCAACGCACACGTAGATATTTTCTGCCCTCTAATATTATAGTCGAAGGGGTGTGGTGTGGCCAAACAACCATGTATCGTATTCTTGGTTCTTTCGGTAAAGTCATGTGACTTTACCGAAAGAACCAAGAATATGTATCCCTACAGTCACGAAAGCTTAAAATCTAAATTTAACCATGTATCGCTTTAGTTCAAGTTCATTTTGTTGAACCAGGTGATACCTCAAGAGACCAGGGTAGTCTCATTGTGCAAGAGTGACCTGGGGAATTAGTTTGCCAATAGGGGGCAATGATTACTCTGTACAAACCAAGATTTAGGAATTTGCAGGTAATATTCGAATGTGGCAAATGTCGGCCCTGACGTGGCCACACGCTGGCCTTACTCTTGCGAATGACTTAGACAGGTGCTGGCACCGTCGGCCACTGACGTGTACGGAATTTAGCAAAGTGCAGTCAGCGCCGAGTCACCGTCCACCACGCAAGTAACATCGCCGCCATCCGAATAATAATATTCCATCAGCGCCACTATCACGGCCACTATTTACCACAGCAGAACAAATCAGAACCAACATCAGTAGAACGATCAAACACGGCTATCATCACCAGCTTCTTCAGCCTGTCATGCAGCACCACCATCGGAAGCATCACCATCAATCTCCATCACCAGCTCTACCACAACACGTATTCAATCTCTCGTGTGTGTGTCTCTCTCTCTCTCTCCTCCGACACCCTTCACTCTCCGTGCCACACACACACAAGAGATTGTCCCATTCTCTCTCTCTCCGTATGTGTCCAACTCACGCGTTGTGCTCGTGGTCTGGCCTGAATGCGTAGCGCATGTGTGTGGAGCGGAACTCCCGAAACTCGGACAGCAGGAGCAGAGAGATGAAGGCGATGCTCCAGAGTGTGGCTGTACGGGGGGAGGTGAGGGAGAAAGCCAAGGAGGTGGCAGCCCGGGAGTCGGTGTCATCTCGGAGCGGCGTTCGGTTTCACCATCAAACAAAGGCGGCGGCCGCTGCATCGCGCGCTTTGAGGTGCGCTTCTGCGGCCGTCTGGAGCGATCTTCCAGCACAGGGCTCCCCCACGTGTTTTTAGCACCGCAAATTCTCTATTTTGAAGTTCAGGCTTTAAAATGTCCCCCCTTCTGTTTCCGGATTTTGTCTGGCCATCGAACAAAGACGGGTCGCTGCTTTCAGGTGCGGTTTCTGCGGCCGTCTGGAACGCTCTCCTTTCGATATTAGGAAGCCACTGGAGCTATGCACTTTTAAATCTAGATTTAAAACTCATTTATTTAGAACTGCATTTTGTGTTTAGTTTGTTTGTCCTCCCCCGCACCTTCGATTAGCACGGTTGGCTACGTACGGTGCGAAAGACGTTTAACGTACGTACATATAAAATAAACATGCCTGGTTGTTCCTGTTACAAGCGTCTTGAGATGCAGTCGCATTTGAATGATATAGAAATCGACACTGAATACTCTTACGCAGTTTATTTTTCTGTGCATAATGTAAAACTACCGATCCGCACTAGTTTCAGACTCATTCCAGAACGAGGACTTAAAAACAAATAACGTTGTGATACTTCCTTGGCAGCAGTGCACAAGTATAAATAACAACAAAAACCTCAACACGTTCATTAATACAGTAGAGTTGTGGCAATGGCCCTTCTTCACGGCACAGCGGCCAGAGCAGTAGAGTGATCTCTCTATGTGCTGTGAATAAGGGCTATTGCCTGAAACGTCATTTATAATTGTTTCCTTCTTTAAGGCCACAGAGTGTTATTGAGACGGATGAGTTGCATTTTTGTATTTTAATATGCGACCGCAATATTTCTGCGAACAATACTTATTTACATTTATAAGTCGCAATTCATCCACAGGTGTGCGTCACGTCCCCAGGTGCGTCTGGTGGTGTCAGCTATCCACGAATATGACGTTCGTGATAGGCGCGTGTGTGTGTCTGTATGTATGTCTGTGTCTGTATGTATGTCTGTGTGTGTGTCTGTGTGTGTGTCTGTGGGGAGCGGTAGTGTAGTGGTTAGCGCCCTGCGCTACGAAACCGGCGACCCGAGTTCGATTCCCGACCACGGACAACACCAGTGACGATTATCTTAATCGGTCCTGGGCCTCCGCGAGGTCGACTCAGCCTCAAATAAGTACGTGGTGTGTAAAACATCAGCACTGGGAAGACAAAGGCGACCGGGCGTGGTATTGGCCACCCGCCCCCTCGTGAGTCGTGCCAGCCTTCAAAGGTGCTCGCTCACAGCACTTGCCCCCCAACAGCCTACTGTTAAGGCTTCTACACGGGGGACCTTTTTCATTGTTTCTTGTGAGACGTGAACGTGAGAGAGTGTGCGCTGTACCGGCTGCTCCCAGGGCAGATGTCTCGCTGAGGCCTTCGGGTAGCTTGGGGAAGGCATCCAACTCCTGCAGGGCGGACAGGAAAGGGCCATCGTGAGGACCAAGAGTGCGAGGCAGGAGATCACCATCGCATTTCTACGGGACGCTTTTTTTTGTCAGTATCAAAAAATAATAATAGGTTTAAGGGGCCGTCCATAAATGACCTCAAGCGATTTTGGACGATATTTGACCCCCCCCCCTTGTCACGATGCGTCACAAAAAGTCAGACCCCCCCTCAAATATAACGTCACAAAGCTCTGCCCCCCCCCCAAAAAAGCTTCAACTCGCTTTAAACTACAGTATTGTCATTGTAGTGCGTATTTAATGTGGCAGCACTGCACTCTGATGTTGTAGGAGAAAACATTTATTAAAAGTTTATTTAATTAAGTAGAACGTGTTTGTCTATATTTATTAAAAGTTGCGAATTTGATGTGACGTCACATTTCTCAAAGCCACCCCCCCCTTCGTCACACATCGTCACAAATGTCTGACCCCCCCCCCACCCCAGGTGCGTGACGTCATTTATGGACGGACCCTAAGTTTCAGAGACAATGCATACATTACCGCAGCATGTTTGTTCGCATGCTTTGCCACAAGTACGTGTGGTTAATGCAGACTTGGTGCCTTGCCAAAGGTACGTATTTGGTGTTTGGATATCTTAATAGCTATTTTATTTCCAGAAAGGGCAAAACCTTCATAATAGAGGTTTTTGGGTGAGATCGCGTAAACATAAATGTGTCCTTAAACCCGCCACCACCCGACACAGCCAATTAGTAAGGTTTGTCACGTAAACAGAACGTGCCAATTCGTGACTATTATAGCACGACCCACACCATTTACAATGAGTACGACATTTCGTCAGTAATTACGAGCATCATCAGACGACAGCCAGAATTTACCTATTGTTACAAATACCGCAATACTTAGCAGTACCTCAATTTTCCCAAACTACATTAGCAGCAGCTGCACAAGCAATGGCTCCACCACTAATTATCTGTCCATAGACTAACGTCAGAATGGCCATCAACAAGCGTGGAAGACTTTGGCTTTAATTCTAGATTGAAAGCTTTCGTGACTGCTAGGATCCATACTCTTTGGTTCTATTGGGTAAAGTCACGTAGGTAAAAAATAAAATAACAAAAATCACGACGTTTCGGCCACAACACCTGATGAAGGCCGCTGTGTTGTGGCCGAAACGTCGTGATTTTTTGTTATTTTATTTTTTACCTGCGTGACTTTACCCAATAGAACCAAAGAGTACTTTGCTTTAATTACAGAGCCATTGAGTTTATCATCATCACCACAAATGATCAATTTATCAGCAACACAAACGAAGATGCTCAGTGTGTGGATGAGAGTTCTTAACCCCAGGGTCTATCCCAGGTATCCAATCTTACCAAACGAGTAGTAATGGTCATATGTGCCTTTGTCGTGTTGTCTCAGCACATCATCTTTCGGGGGGGGCGATAAAATACTCAATTACTTTTGTTGTTCAATGTATGCCAGTGGTCAGCCTAGCTGGACCCCACCATGGGAATGTAGAACTTCAACTGCTGGCTGGAGATCACGCACAGCAAGGGAGATATTGTGACTTTGATTCGGGTCGCATTCAGATGTTCGACACTTACAAATCGTGTTGTACTCCCAGATATTGGAGAAGCTCTGTCTGTACTCTCATGTACTTGGAAAGGTTGCGTGCATTTTGTTGGTGCGGGAATCACCTTGCTATCTCAAAAGATCTAATTTTTGCAGCCTGACTTTGAAAGTAGTATTTTGCAGTGATTACTGTATGTTGAACTTCTTTCGCACCGTACGTAGCCAACCGTGCTAATCGGAGGTGCGAGGGGAAATAACAACAAACTAAACACAAAAAGCAGTTCTAAAGAATGAGTTTTCAATCTACATTTAAAAGTGCATAGCCGCTGTGACGTCCTATTGTTATAATGCAAGATATGCTATAACCTGTTTTGGCAAACACACCGTATCGGATGATGGGTTATTTTACCATACTTCACCACGTTGGTCAGTACGGGCTGGTGAAGG